AACTTAACTTAACGTACGTTAGAACTTAGAAAATCAAAATGAAACACACTTCGACTTGGCATTAAGTTACGTTAAGTTTCGCCTGACCAAATATAAACAACATCCATCAAAGAAAATTTTTAAGTTACAGCCTCTAAGTTACGTAATACCGGGGAGAGACATCTGGTAGTTCTTCGTAGCATGTCCAAAATACCACATGTCTGTCACCAAATATTATAATAGTGAGATTCATGAAACATCTCAAAGTTGTTGCAAAATTTGCACCTTGCGACACAGCTGATTTCCTTTGTATGGAAACTCTCCCGTGACAAAATTGCGACATTTCCATAATATTTAAGCTGGCAATCTTTGCTAACTCAAACATCGTGGTTTAATTTTGGTAAATTGTAAAAACATACAATTTATAAAAGATTAAATAAAGATGATATTAAAACAACGGTTACTTTACTAAATCGTTCTTGAATTTCAGTGCACCTAAAGTTTTGTTTACATTCTGAGAGGTTAATTTAATTACTTTTGCTTGAGAATTGACAGAATCGGGCAAACCAAAGAAGGTACCGACCTTTGTTCTATATAACATATCGCTCATTTACTTTGATAGTATCATAACTCAAAAAACCAACTGGAGAAAAATGGCTTTAAAGTTTTGAATTTACATATCCGTATGTACCCACTCCCATAGTATAAATCATGATACAAATATTTATAAGGTACAATCGCTGAGAGCCAGCTTTAAGAATTTTGACGTTTGCTAGCATTTTGAAAATTTCTCTCGCCGTCATTTCGCATTTGTTTGTTTTTATTTTCAAACAAACCAAAGAAATATATTTCTGTCGAAACAACAAAATTTGAATATACATACATATGTAAATAAATAAACGGAAGCAATTGTCTGTAATGGACTTCTGCCCGTATGTTAAGGCGAAGCTTTTGGCATGCATTTGAAGATATTTTACCTTAAGGGCACTGCACTTTTGCAAAGAACTATCTTGTGCTTACATTGGGTCAGGTGGTGTGGCAAAAAATGAGTCGAGCGTACATAGGGGCACTTTGGCAAATCCGTTTTCATAACACCACAAACCTCGATCCATTTTTGCTGTATATACGATAGTTGCAGGAACTTGAGGAATTTGGGCAGCCGTTAAAGCAGCAACTAATTTTTCGTTTCGAATTGTTTTAGTTTTCTCAACTTCTGACTAAATGAATATTTCAAATCATAAATTTTCATTTGTTTATTTTGAATTTCTTTGACATTAAAAGCATTTCGAGAGAGAAAACTCAAAATGTTAGCAAACGTCAAAAAAACCCAATGGCGGACGAATTGAGCGAGCGGTTTTACCCATGATAAAAGCTTGATAAAAACATAGCAAGGTAGAACCGTTCTCTCAATTTGTCGGCCATGATTTTTTTTTTGAAGTTTGCCAACATTTTAAAATCATATAAAAGTGAAAATAAAAAATTGAAATTGTTCGAAATTGTTGTTGCTTGAGATTGAAAATGAAAATGTGTGTGTGAGTTTGTGAGTAAATTTAAAAATTAAATTGTTTGGAAACGTCAAGAATTTTAAAAGTGACTCTCAGCGGTTCTACCTTACTATATTTTTATCATGGATAAAAGCATAGTAAGGTAAAACCGTTCTCTCAATGCGTCGGCCATGATTAATTTTTTTTTTAAGTTTGCCAAAATTTTAAAATCGTATAAAATTGAGAGTAAAAAAAAGAATTGTTCAAATTTGTAGTTGTTTGAGTTTGAAAATGAGAATGTGTGTAAAATTTTAAAATTAAATTGCTTGCAAACGTCAAGAATTTGAAAAACTTTTCTCAGCGGTTCTGCCTTCGTATTTTTTTATCATGGTTTTACCTTTAAATATTTGTATCATGGTATAAATAAACACAGATTTTCTAGTGATCTACTGGTAATCGGTACATCTATGAAATTTTTACACAACATAAAAGAATAGGTAGGGGTAATTTCTGCGTATATATGTACATATATACATACTATATTGCATATATGTGACCTGGTCTACGGAAAGGGGGCTTACAGGCTAACCTAATATTCACGCACGCCGCCAATTTATTGTCAAAAATTTCTCATGCACATGCAACTTGTATGAGATCAACCGAAATTGAACGGCGTGCGTATGAAGCTAACTCAATTTCCAATTTTTGTTCTGCGTGACATTTTGATTTGACGTTTCGCTCAATGAAATCAAATGCAAACGCATGCAAGTGAATTTCGGGTGACGCAAAAAAACAAATTCGACGGCATGCGTACCAAAACGCAAGCCGCGAATATTAGGTTAGCCTGTGAGGTGTCAAAAAATCAATTTTCACTTTTTGGTTGATTCGGATGGAAGATGAGATGCTTTTTCACGTGGTGAAAAGCAGAAAATCCTAACTTGCTTAGAAGTGTACTAAAAATAATAATAATATTAATAATAATAATAATAATATTAATAATAATAATAATAAAACTATAATAATATTCCGACCAACAACAACACTTACTGGACCAACAACAACACTTACTGGACCAACAACAACACTTACTGGACGTCCGGCGCGGAGAACAATTAACGAGATAATGAGAAACTGACGAAACGAGTTGCTTACTTTTAACAGCTTTTTCACAGAAAACTAGTTTTCGCACGTAAGCTCCCTTTTCGTAGACCAGGTCACATATGTACATATGTATATTATATTGTATAAGTGTATGTATGGACGTGCATGCATGTGCAACTGTGAACAGACAAAAAAGCTTCGAATTGCTGAAAATGAGAAAAGCTTTCGCTTTCCCTTAAAGAATTTAGAAGAGAAAATATTTTTGTGCAATTTAGTCACAAAAAGAACGTCGCAGAGACGGGTTGAAGGAGATCCCAATCGGATTTAGAAACGAGTCGAGCCAAATTAGTTTATTTGCGTTTAAAACGACTAAATAATTAATATTTTTACAGAATACATAGCATTGCATACATATCTTTCTGGTACACATATACATACATTCGTGTTTTATTCGCATATTTAATTATTTACATATTTACGTACTTATACATATGTACGTATACGTACTTGCGAATCAATAATCAATGTAAAAGGGAAAAACTACAATAAATATCCGCGTGAAAAAGATAAAAAGAAGAAGACGTTGATGTAACTTGTATATGAGTAACAATAAAAGTGAAAACAGTTTACAATTTAAGTGCAAAACCCTATTGGAAAAATTGAGTAGGTGACTACGGAAAAAGCCAGTTCAGCAGAATGTCGTGGAGATATACGGTACGCATAAAATTCAACTAACAAATTTGAAACTAACATTTCGTCCCGATTCTGCGCTAACCAAGAACCTACATTTTTTGCGAAAACTAATCGAATATTTTGCAACAAACAAAGTTGAAACTCAAACCATCATAAAATAAAACAAAAACTTTAAGTGGGTTCGCACTAGTGTTAGATGAATTAAAAATACATATTTGGCAGTTCAATTTATGTTGAAAAGTATACTTGCAGAAAACCTAAATTCTACCTATTCACACGCTTCCTTATATTATTTTGCTTTTGTAAGATAATCTTATTGGCATATAATAAGTAAACAGCAATCAGCTGTTTGTGTATGTCGTAATACATAAAGCATTTGCGTATGTAGATGTAATTTTATTACCTTCTTATTTTTAAGAAACTTGAAATTTGTTGAAAAATTATTTTAGAAAATTGATTGCTAATTTTTCCATACAATACGTAACGATAATAAGAAAAAAACACGTTTAAAGTTAAAAAATTCACCAAGTACAAACTACTCTTTCACTAACTACCAACCACCGATTTACGTGAGAAGATCCCTATTATATAGAAAAATTTTAAAAACAAAAATGTAATTGCGTAGTTGGTAGATATGCATACTTATATATATATGTATGTATATATGCATGTACATAGTGTAGTGTTCAGATAAAAGTTGCCACTGCATGCCTATCTGGAACAATAAATAAATTCTCATCAAAAGATAGAAAATAACCAAAAATAATTTCAGTTGACCAATGAAGAGTAACTTATTAGTAAACTATGCTTGGTTGTTGAAAAATTGCAGTATGTTCTCAAACGTACACTCATTTTTATTGAATTCTTGAATCAAAACAGCCTTACATTCTATTAAGGAAAAAAATCAAGTAGGTTAGTATACGGCTGCAGTTTTGCCCTTTGATCTTACTAACTTTCGGCGCTATTTCTGTGATTTTGTGATTGATTGGCTCTTTCTAACAATGTGCTTTTAAATTATTCCTCCAAACAGTTTTCAACGGGCTTGTTTACATTTGTTTTTCAACTCTTCAGATATACCGTTACTTGTCTTAAGAAAGAGACTGCTGAATGGGTTGTTTGTTATAAAAATTCGACTAGCGAAGTCGGATGATGCCCCCCAAAACTACACCCCGAGTGCAGTTTCGATATATACTTGAGCATTCAGAGTAACACTAATGAACACCGCGAGACTACAACCGTAGTAAGAAATGCCATTTACCTGATTAAGCTGGATATATATCGCTCCTCAATGTAGCTTTCACAAAATACAAATCATCTTGTCTTTTTCTGCTAAAGCACAAAATGTTAACCAGTCGGTAGATTTTTATTCTGCATTCGTCCATAATAATCATCTTTATAACAAACAAAAAACAAAACCCCAACCAAAAAAAACAATAAGGATCGGTCGGCATGTAGAACGATTGTAAGTGGGCGCGTTTCTATTGATTTCAATTTTATGTATATGTATACAAGGGATGTTAATTTTTCAGCTTTTTCCGATCCCGCGATTTTCGGTATGTCGTTATCACAATCCTGGGATTTAGATATTCATTACTTTTCAAAAACTTAAATCGAAAAAATTGCTTCTATATTGTTTGAGAAGCTCTCCTACCATAAAATAAATAATAAATAAATGGGTTTGAAACCTACTTTGTTTTAGGAAGCGCTTTTATTTTTTCTCTCTGACGTCAGGATTTATGTATTATATATATATATATATATATATATATATATATATATATAAATATATATAAATTTATGATAAAATTATTTAAAAAATTCAATGCATTGTAGAATAAAAATATGGGTACGAAATGCAAGAGAAATAATAATAAATAAATAAATTTATAATAATAAATAATTTTAAAAAATTACAATTTTTTGGATTCACAAGGACGAATACGTAATTTTTTAAGTTGATCAAGTTAGAAGGACGAAATTCGAGGATGTTATCGAGTTTATATAAGTCCTTAACATATAATTTTTTCAAAAACATATATTGCGAAATTTCAAGGATAAGATTTTAAAAGGACATTTTCAGTACTTACCAGTCCTTCTGCACCAAAAATTTGAATCTCTTTAAATTCTACAGGACTTCCTCTTTAATTTGATACTTATACTTCTTCTCTAAACACGTTTCTCTGAATTTAAAACTAAATTTTACTATATTTGGCCCATGGTTTCGCGAATATATTGATATTTGTGTTTAAAATTTACTATCGCGCGGTGTTATTATAATGAGCTAGACATTTATAAAAAATATTAATTAGTAAATAAAAAAGAAATATAGCCAATACTGGTCAAGAAAAGAAGTTTCTATCATTGGCATCAGTGCAAATTACAAATCCCGAAAATCCCGGGATTATTTCCCAAGAATCCCGCGATTTCCCGGGAAAAAAAACTGATTCTCCAACTAGATTCCCTGCAGCTTAACACCACCAATGTGTAATTTAAGAAATACAAATTAAGCTAAATTTTCCAAAATGTGTAAAATTCACTAAAAACTGAACACACATCAGGGAAGCCAACTCGTGGGGTATTCCGCGATTTGCGGGGAATTTCAGTTTGCGTGGGGAACCTGGGAATGGACCGTTTTTTGTGGGGAATTTCAGCTTGTTCAATTCTAGTATAACAAAGTTTCAAATGGCTAAAAGTTACTGCATATTTTTTAGAATTTTCTTTGCATTTGCTTTCATATAGCGAATGAACATAATTTATTTTTTATATGGAATAAAACAACACAAAAACTTAGGAAAAAATCCTAAAACGGAAATTTTTAGCGATTTGAAACTTGCACTTTGTTATACTAGAATTGAGTGGGCTACAAAACTGCATACTCAAAGTATTTATGGAAACTCCAATTAAAAAGCTTGAAATTACGAAAATTTGTTGGATTTATTTTCAAATTTTGCTCAAAGTCTGAAACTTGGATTTATACGGTTTTTGTTAAAGAATAAACTATATTAAAAAAAAAATAATAACTCAAATTAAATAACAAAAAAATAATAATAATTGGTGGGAGTAAATTTTTTCGACCACTGTATGTATGTAAATTTTATCTACATAAATATTTTTTATTCTTTATTTGTTAACTACCTTTATAAAAGTTTGGTTTGGTTTATCAGTACATAGATTAATTACGTCTGAAAATAAAAAAGAAGGACCAGTAATATATAAAAATACATCATTTTTTATTTATATTTTTTTTTTTGTAAGTAAGGAGATATCTGTGGGTGGGGAATTTTACGAAATTTCTCAAAAATGAGTTGGCTACTCTGATACACATAATAATAACAACACGGTGCTACAAAAAATAACGAAATTATAAAATTTGAAAAAAATTAAACAATTTTATAGTGATCTTGCCTCGATCGTTTTAAATTTTATTCTGCCCTTTCAAAATTTTCATTTCATATTTTTTCTGTAAAGAAAATCATAAAATTCCAAGAACCTTCGTATTGTTTGAAGAACAGTTAAAGATATTACAGTATTTCGAAAAGCCTCCAAGCCCAGTACTTTAATAATTAATGACTATTTGCACGGAAAGGTAGTAAACCTTAACTTACAATACTTAGTGTAGGTTGAAAGTAGGGTCGAGTACAACAAGAAAATAGGTTTTCAGAGTCAGGAAAAATTTTCATGAGTGTGCTTAAGGGTCTAAGCGCAATATGTATACCAAATTTGGTCGAGACAGGTGAAATAGTTTTTGGGATATAGATATATGATAAAGTGGGCGGCGCCACGCTCATTTTCATAAAATTGTATGAAATACCAATTTTTTACTAATGAGCCCTTGTATTCAACGTGCCGACGAATAACCGTTACACAGTCTTTTTTGAAAAGAGATCGGTCCTTATAGATTTTGTGAAGAAACTATTTTATTGTTAATTTTGCACATAATTTACTTTAATTTTATTAATAAGTATTAAAATTGTAATCCCTATTTGCATATGCCGGCAGTGTAAACTTTGGGGGATAAGTACATGGGGAACGCAAGTCTTTTCCAGATGTAGTTTTTCTTAGAGTTTGTATATAAAGACCAAAACAAACTGTATAGGGTTGGCCGAATGAATGGCCATCCTAGTCACCAGTTCCGATTCTATTCCAGTTTTGAGTATGAGGCCTTATTTTCGACAAAAAGTGGAGTCGAAAGAACTCAAAATGGAGGAAATTAGCATATGGTTAAAGAAAATATAGAATAAACTAACCGACGAAGACTTACCTGCCCCTTTCGCCTTTCTCTCAAAGTATTTACCTTTGGTAAACCCAAATTCAGGCTAAGATATAAAGACTAATTAGCGAAAATTTACGCAAAAATTACAGTGTATTAAGAAGCATTTGATTATAAAGAAAATAATTACATAAAATACAGTTGAAAATGACAGTGACCAGGAAATAATGCCAAAAGGTGGTAGATTCCATAACTCCTAGCATTGCAGAATGTGGAACTATTTTTGAAATGGATAACAACATTTTGAATCAAAAGTTCAATAGAATAAGGGCCAATTTCATAATAAAGCACTTAAAGTTCCTTTTACAAAAATGTACTTTAAACAAGAATT